CAGGCGGCAGGTTCTGGATGCTTGGCCTAGTATGTTGACAGGATCCCTGAAATGACCCCCAGGGATTTCCGCGACCCTGACCAGACCTCTCCAATCTGCGCTCCCGTAGTCTACGGTCAATTTTAATAGTGAGTGCAATCAAGTCCTCTAATATCTCGGGCACCTCTACCCGGGCGAGCTCGTCTTTCAGAGCCTCAGATAGGCCCATACGAAACTGATGTAAAAGGGCGAACTCGTTCCAACGAGTGTCACCCATCCAGCGCCTAAAGTCAGAGGCGTATTCCTCAGCCGCCCGCCGACCTTGTCGGAGTGCGTATAATGTGGCCTCGGCCGAGGCGCCCGTTGTGGGTCATCATATAAGATGGCCATGGCGTTAAAGAAGCTGTCGACCGAAACCCAGGTGAGGGTCATTGTTTCCCCTTAGTCGGTGGGCCCAGTCTTGGGGTTCACCCTGCAACAGGGAGACAACAAACCCCACTTTCACTGACTCTGTCAAAAAGGTCCGTGGCTGTAGTTCAAAAAAGAGCAGACAAGAGTCACGAAATGACCGAAAGCGTGTGCGATCCCCATGGAAGCGCTCGGGTAAGGGTACTCGGGGTTCCGCCATAGGGAGTGATGTGGGAGGCCCAGGAGCCGGCTCGTGGGCTGCTGCGATTGGTGGTGCAGGAGCCGGGGCCTGTGAAACAGGAACAGATATGGTGCAGGCCTGAAACCGATTCTCGATCTGCAGACATCTGTCCTGTAATGTGTTTACAGCTTGCGTCAGGGTAGCCAGGTGCCTGCAAACCTCGTCCAACGGGGAGAGTCCTCCTCGAGGCTCAGTCATGGCCTTCTGGTACTGTGAGGGAACGCCGAGCGGCACCACTAGCACTCCACTGGTCAGGTGTGCCCAGAGCGCGGAATCTAAGCCCCAGGGTACTTGTTCACCAGGGCCCCTGATGGTGGGGATGGACTTGTAGTACCCCGAGACCAGGTCGCCTCTACTGAGCACACCTGTCAGTGGTAGGGGTGTCCGCCAGGGGTTCCAACCAGGGAGAGCCAAATGTGAGGAGGTCGGGTGACCCCGATGAGTTTTCACACCTATAACTGAACTGCAAGAAGAGATTTCATTTCACCTACTTTTCTATAATTATCATTTGTCTTATATAACATCTGCCCTTGTTAGTGTGATACTAAGTTTAACCATTGGACTGAAGTAGGAGAGGTAGTAAAGTAGGAGAGGCGCAAGGTAATAGGCCAAGAAGGATGGGAAGTATAGATTTGGTTATCCTCACTTAGGCATCCTTACATCATTACTTACTTAAACATCCGTAATTAACAGGAGTTTCAGCTTTTTACATTAGTCATTTACGCTACTTTTATACCTATCTGTACCTAAGACATGTGGCAGCTGTTTGTTAGATATACTTTCTAAATGGATATTTGCCTTCTTATATAACTCTGATATTTAAAAGAAATGAATACTGGGGAAGTAGGAAGCGATACAGCAATCAGGGACATTAGGCAGGGAGCAACATGAGGCAGTGATATTTCACTGCCACTGGTTCTGAAAATACATGTTCCCTGGCGACCATGCTCATCCAGCGGCTTCGGTATTTTGAATCACTGACTCATGACAAATGAGCCAACATGAAATGTTAGCGCTCTGTAAACTGCATATTTGTTTTGTGTCTTTGAAAGTATTGAATCGAGAGACAGACAGGCTTTGAACATTCAGAAGGAGATTAGAGGGGCCAGCCTGTGTAAAATTCTCAGCAAAATATCTGTTTTATAAGTCTCGAGTGGAAGAAGGCATTCCCCTAACTTACAGGCCACATACTTACAACCAGGCAGAGAAGTTAAACCAATTCTTTTTACCTAAGGTTTCTGCCCCAGATCTAGCATGCAGCCTTAGATTTCAGGAATGGTATTGTGAGGGACCGCCGAGCGGCACCACTAGCACTCCACTGGTCAGGCGTGCCCAGAGCGCGGAATCTAAGCCCCAGGGTACTTGTTCACCAGGGCCCCTGATGGTGGGGATGGACTTGTAGTACCCCGAGACCAGGTCACCTCTACTGAGCACACCTGTCAGTGGTAGGGGTGTCCGCCAGGGGTTCCAACCAGGGAGAGCCAAATGTGAGGAGGTCGGGTGACCCCGATGGGATGGATGGATGGATGGCTGAGCAAGTGCGTAGTCAGACAGGCCGAGTCGGTAATGTAGAGGACGGTAAGGTACAAGGGAGCAGGCAGAGAATCGTCGGGTCACACGCCAGGTCAGCAACAGGAGGTCAGATCTAATGAGGGGCATCCAGGGAGAGAGGTCAGGCAAGCAAGGGTCTGGGCAGGAGAAATCAGCAAGGTCAATAGCAATCCGGGTCAATAACTCACTAGGCACAGGTACAGGAACGCAGGAAGCAGGTAAGACCAGAAGGCAACGAAATGACAGCTCAGGGACATTTAAATATCCCGCCCTGCGCTGCCATTGGTGCCCAGCGGGCGGCCGCGGCTTCTACTGCGCATGCGCGAACTCGAACGCCGCGGCCGGCCCGGAACTAGTGCCCGTGTACTGGGAGGAGCAGTGCGCCTGCGCCGGGACCATCGAGGCACGGAACGAGGGGATCCCTGACAGGTATCTTTCAGAAGAGGATTCGGACATGCACTGAATGATTATTTTATGGATTTGAATTATAAACCAGCCTAACATATAAAGTTTACGTCTGTAGGAATGCTCATGCTACAAATAGCTAAATGTGTTCAGACTGCAGTGTCTTTTCCTTAAAGTAATATTAAAGGCTTGTTTTTTTTTTAAACAAACATGTCATACTAGTTTTGCACAGAGCAACCCCAATCCTCTTCTTCTTAGTCTGCTTGTTTTGGAGGCACTTGATCTTGCTCACTCCTGAGCTCTGCTCTGTGTGTCTAAAAGACACACAGAGCGTGGCTCAGCCCCGCCCCTTCTCCCTCCTCATTGGCTGTGATTGACAGTAGTGGGAGACCTGGGAGAGCCGTAGCTGTCATGCACAGTGCTGGATCGAGATTATGCTCAGGTGGGTAAAAATCCTTCAGCCTTTAGAATGACTTTAATTATTATATAAAATCTTTGCAACCACATGTAACACTACATAAGCACAGTAATATACCATGACAATAGCCAGAGTTTACCAGATTGCCATATTAAAGTTCAAATGGAAGTTCCGGGTATGGATTTTATTGCATAGTTATATTAGTTCAGCTTAGAGTAATGTAAGTATGCATATTCTATCCCTGTGGGATCCTTATGAATTCAGAAAATCACTGAAGTAATCACTGCTACTAAAGTAATTGCTGCTGTCTTCTGGGTCCAGTGATGAGCAGCTGCCCTGTTACATTCTCTGATTGAGAGTGGAGGGACAGGGAGATGAGGTCATGACCTCCAACTTTTCCAATCAGAGAAAGCCTTGATTTCATTGATAAAAATTTAAGGTGTGCTGGGAATCCAGAAGACAGTGGCAATCAGTGTAGTAGCAGCAACTAATACAGTGATTTCCAGTTTCCACAAGGATCCCACAAGTATGGAATATGCATACTTACATTGGTCCAGGCTACACCAAAATAACTATCCATTACAATCCATACTTGGAATTCAGCTTTAATGAATGATGCTGGCATTTCAGTTCCATTTCATTCAAGCCAGGTGAGTTTGTAGAGGCAAGACCAAAGCAGTGAGGATTGAAAGACAAGCTAACCTTATATATTATATTTTTAATTCAGTTTTGGGAAGTTGCCAACAACTCTTGCTCTTATCTCTCCATTGCTCTCTTCCATTTCACCTTTCTTCTCACACTCTAGTTAGCTTTTTATCCCTACAGTGTTTTCCCCAAAAAGGGCAACCTGCACTATCAGTTTGAATTTACATTGAGACGGACAGGTCACCCACTCGTCTGCTACTAGCACCTGCATATATGTTGAAGTACTATATCTACACTCCCATTGTGAGAGTACCAGAAATACTATTATAGTGTATATAACACATGCCAGTCTCTGTACATTCACTCCTCCCATGATAAAGTAGCACTGTTATGTTTAGCCTAACTTAGCCTGGGTTCACATATATGCGGCTTGGTACATCGCATGTAATTTGCACAGGAACCCCACCGCATTCCTGTGCAAATCACATGCGATTTGTGTGCAGTGAGATTGGAGCCATACATTTTGTATGGCTCAAATCACACCGCACCCTCACCAAAAATGTGCAGGACCCTTTTTTTGGGTCCGCACTAGAATCGGATCACATGGGTATTTACACCTATGCGCTCCGATTCTGTACATCGCACTGCGTTTTGCAGACCACTGTCAGGGTGATGTTAACATACACACCCACAGCGGTTCGCATGAACGGGGTGCAACTGCGATGCACCGCATCAGGGTGAACCCAGGCTTAATATATGAAGACATTTATTTGTACTGTACAAATTACAACCTGTACGTTACCTCTAAGGGCTGCACCCCTTCTGACTTATTGTTGTTGATTTTTTTATCTACTCAGTTCAGCGGAATCCTGCTATCACATTGTAATGAGATCCCTGTAACACTATCATCTTTTTCCAATGAAATCTATGAACAAGGGAAGTTGTTAGTAGGGCTTTTGCTCCTCTTGGCTCCTCAAGCAAGATCCTACTTCAAAATTCCCTGAACTTCTCACATTCTAAAGCCATTACAGGGGATTTAACATATTTCTTCACTTATTTTATATAACAAAAATGGCAGAGCTAGTTTAGTGTAGAGTGGGATAGAGAAGAGCAGAGATAACTGGCACTGCTGGAGCCCATGTGGGATATAAGGAACTACTGGGCTTCAATAATATAGACCACAAGTATGCAATACCTGATTTAATTCACAATGTTTATGTTCTGATTTTTTAACATTTAGATGAAATGCATACACTGGGCAGTTACTACATCCACACTTGTTCCAGATTTTAGAGTTAGTTATACCATTTTGCATCCATCAATTCTTCATAACAGGTGAAACGTATCACTTACCTATAATCCTTCAGGACTTGAGGGCGGGGGCCATTAAGCATGGTCTCTGGGGGCTGTGGAACATGAGCCTGCTGGGCTCTGTTTAGACTGTTCTGTCGACTACCAGGAGCAGAGGAACGGTAGCCATGCTCTTGTGCTTGACTGGCCATCAGGATAATCTCCTTGTTTTCAGGGGTCAGGTGAGGGACAGCAGCCAGGATTTGCTGAGTAGGGTGATTTGGGCTGGCAGGATAGGAGTGATCAAGATCTGAAGCATATGACCTGCAGTTGCAAAATAAATCTACTTTATTACTGGCATTTTAGATGATCATTTTAAAACCATTATTGAAATGATGTACAGACATCCCACCCAGGATGGAAGGGTGTCATTATTTTTCAGTTTCTAAAATAAAACCCATAAAACTAGATCCCCAGAATGTATCATTTAAACTTTTTCTGGTACATATTCTTTCTTTGTTACTATGAAATAAAGTATGTGCATTTGTAAGACATAACAAAAAATTAGTCAATTTAAATTAAACCCATAAATTACATCTGTCTACCCTTTAGAATGGTAAAGATGGTATGATACTGTGCATGGAACCTGCCTATTATCAGGGGAAGTGATCCCTCGGATGAAGTCACATGATATGGGGATGGTGAGAACCTGTTATCTGGCCTGAACTCCTTATCATATGCCATCATGTTCCATTCTAGCCTTCGGTTCCGGGCTTTCCGAACTTTCTTCACCTCCCTGGTCGGATCTTCCACCTGCCTCTGTTCCTGTGAAAAAAACTTAAGTTAGCTAAAACAGTAAGAGACAATATCTAATTTTAGAACTATTATACACTCTTATAATACAAATCATTTTACCCACTTCTTGGCCCCCATTCTCACTTGTGGGTTTTTCTGCTAGTTTCACTTGTGAGATGGCTTGAAAACATCTGTAGATGCTTTTAAGTTGCCTGAAAAAAAACCCTAAAAAATCAAAATCACCAGGAATATGTTCTGATCAGATCTGATTGCAGGATTAGATGAGGTGATATTAAAAGGTAAATCAGTTATCAGCCAGATATATTTTTTCAGGCTGTTTTTTTATTGGAAATGTTGGTAGTCACAGCACATTTTATTACACATAACTTAATTTCTGAAAAAATGTGTTTTGGTTTCTTTGTATGTGTTTTGTTTTTGGTTTCTTTGTATGTGTGGATTGCATGGGTTGTTACCGACATGTGTTGAAAATTTCATGTAAATAGCACCTTTAGAAATACACTGGTCAAAAAATTAAAGGAACACTTTTTGATCAGAGTATAGCATCAAGTGAATTAAACTCCTGGGATATTGATCTGGTCAGTTAGGTAGCAGAGAGGGTTGTTAATCAGTTTCAGCTGCTTTGGTGTTAATGAAATTAACAACAGGTGCACTAGATGGGCAACAATGTAACGACCCCCAAAACAGGAATGGTTTTACAGGTGGAGGCTACTGACATTTTTTTCCCTACTCATATTTTCTAACTGTTTTTCACTAGTTTTGCACTTGGCTTTGGTCATTGTCACTACTGGTAGCATGAGGCGATACCTGGACCCTATAGAGGTTGCAAAGGCAATCCAACTCCTCCAGGATGGCACATCAATACGTGCCATTGCCAGAAGGTTTGCTGTGTCTCCCAGCACAGTCTCAAGAGCATGGAGAAGATTCCAGGAGACAGGAAATTACTCTAGGAGAGCTGGACAGGGCCATAGAAGGTCCTTAACCCATCAGCAGGACCGGTATCTACTCCTTTGTGCAATTAGGAACAGGATGAGCACTGCCAGAGCCCTGCAAAATTACCTCCATCAGGCCACTGTTGTGAATGTCTCTGACCAAACAATCAGAAATAGACTTCATGATTGTGGCCTGAGGGCCCGATGTCCTCTAGTTGGCCCTGTGCTCACTGTCTGGCACCATAGGCTTGATTGGTACTTGCCATTGAACACCAGAATTGCCAGGTCCTCCACTGGTGCCCTGTGCTTTCCACAGATGAGATCAGGTTCACCCTGACCACATGTGACAGACGTGAAAGGATCTGGAGAAGCTGTGAAGAACATTATGCTGCCTTTAACATCATTCAGCATGACCGTATTTGAGGTGGCTCAGTGATGGTCTGGGGAGGCATATCCATGGAGAGACACACAGACCTCTACAAGCTAGAAAATGGCACCCTGACTTCCATTAGGTATCGGGATGAATTACTTGGACCCATTGTCAGACTCTACGCTGGTGCACTGGGTTCCTCCTGGTGCAACACAATGCCTGACCTCAGGTGGCAAAAGTATGCAGACAGTTCCTGGAGAATGAAGGAATTGATACCATTGAAAGACCCCCATGCTTGCCTGACCCAAATCCAATAGAACACCTCTGGGATATCATGTTTCAGTTCATCTGACACTGCCAGGTTGCACCTCAGGCTGTCCAGGAGCTCAGCGATGCTCTGGTCCAGATCTGGGAGGAAATACCCCAGGACACCATCCATAGTCTCATTAGGAGCATGCTCCGACGCTGTCAGGCATGAATACAAGCACATGGGGGCCAAACTACTGAGTACCATTTTGAGTTGCTGCAATGAAATTTCGGAAAAATGGACTAGCCTTCGGGGTGTCTTTGAATTCAGTCCTCTGTGGATGATAATTTTCATTTCCATAAAATGATGGGGCATCTTACGTTCCTACAACACTACCCAATCCATATCAGTATAGATATCCAGCATGATATTTTTCCCCATTGAGATCTGATGTGTTTTCAAAGTGTTCCTTTAATTTTTTTGAGCAGTGTATATTTACCTAGAAAAATGGTGACGTGTCCAATACTTATTTTACCCGCTGTATAATCAAAACTTCAAAATATACCAAAAACTCAAAACCACTATTATTGGTAGTATTTGTCAAGTATTGTCAAAAACACAACTGTGTAGGTAGCAAAAAGACATTATTCCATGGCTTAAGTATCCAATGTTACAACTTATTTCAATAGTTCAGTCTACTGCACCCAGTTGGCTAGAGGCACTTTTGGGGCTCTATAATTACTTTTTTCCCATTGCTTATCTAAAAGCTAACATCAGGCTGTGCACAGTATGTCAGAAAGAAGTTCTCTGGCACCTCAGTCAAAGATGTAAAATTGTGGGTCCTTCCTTGAGCTGAGATAAATCATGTCCACATGTACAGGGGTTCAGATGGTGCAGGGATGTAGTTGGCTAATTTGGATGCAGGGATGCACTGGATGCCTTTGCTGTCATTTTGGTATAGTTGGGCGTCAGGTGTGTCCCTGTACCTTTAAGGAGGGATGGGCTCCTCCAGGCACACCTGCCCTTAACCTATCCATTGATATATGTGCTCCTACTATGGAGGATCTGGAAATTTTAGTTAAGTCCACAGTATACAGTGGACCCTTGATGTGGAACTATGGCTTACGCATGTATTTGCAAATGTGTGCAATCAAGACCCTCTATTTTTAACGCAAAGTGGTAGACAGGGCCAAATTGGTTGTTTTGCAGGCTGGCTGGTAAGTGTTGCTGGGTAATTCTTTGTTTGTTTGCGATGTGCATTGCCCTTCCATGTACACCTTATTGCTAAGGCTGATTATAGGTTGGGACAGTTGCCATTTTTTGTGTCGTTTGCAGAAATGACCCCCGGGCTGCTACCTTTTGGTCCATGGAAGCACAAATGAGATAGGAAGGCTGCAACCAGTGTTATTTAATTTTATATATCACTACCACTACCTCACTATGATAACCAAAAAATGGTCATCCATCTGGAAATGAAGGTAGGTTATACTTCATAAAAAGTGAAAATTTTATTTTGTGACTTGTCCCTTTTATATAAGCAGCAAAAAATTTGCTCAAAATTAGCTTCCGGCAATGAAAAACATGTACATTTGAATGGTAGGACAAATCAGCAAAAATAGCTAAGGTAGGAAGGAGTTCATAAAATCTCATTAGGGTTAAATAAGAATTAATAATGGGATGCCTAGGGGTTCATTTACTAAAGGCAAATAGGCTGTTTTGTAAGGGAATTTTCCTCAGAGCTTAATGATTACAGTAAAGCTGACCTCCATCATCCAATCAATTTCGAGGAAAACATATTTTTTAAAATTTTCTGTGCACATGATTGTGTATTCTTTGCGAAATGAAATTCTCCTACATTCACTAAACTGTGGAGAAAATTCCCTTGCACAGTGCAACTTTCCTTGTAAAGTGAACAGCCTATTTGTATTTGGTAAATTAACCCCATAGTGACAGTTCCAGCTGTGCCCCCGTCATCACTGCTTCTGCGTCAGCCTGGCCTTGGTTGAGTAACACGTACTTTAACATACATTGCAGTGTCTCTTTTCACTGATGCCTCAACCCAACCCTTGTTCTCCTTATTGGGCTCTTTTGTTCAGGAAAGCACTAATATTTACACTGAATCTGGGAGCTTCAATCAAAAAACATGTGGTTAGTTTGTGTGAAAAGCTGCAAAATAACTTCCAGCCTTGGGCATTAATTATTTATGAATGTGAGTGGCTGGTTCACTGCACCGTCATATTATTTATAACACTGTCGACTGCAGCAAAAATAGTAAAAAAAATGCTGAGTGTCATTTGAGACAGAGCACATACAAGAACACATTGTGAAGACTCACTTTAATTTCACCCAGTTTAAATTCTGGAGGTTTCACTGTTCTAACCAATAAATTGCATGAACAGTTGCCTTTGGCTTAAAACGACACAATATTCCCTCTTTAAGTTGAACTCTGCTTCTTGCACTCAGACAGAGAGGCTGAACGCAATGTCTTGCTGGGACAGAATTAAAATTACAATAGCATTGCGTGACATCTCAGGGTGACAAGATGGCAACACATCATAACATATAATCATCACTGAAAAAGACACACCGCAGTTACTGTCATAAAGAGTTGCTTTTTTCATGCTGTGGTATTTGAAGGCAGTCAGTTTGAGGGCTAAACAATAGCTATGGAGATTGTATATGTGGAAACTATGCACATTTAAAGCTTTTAAGAAAAAAAAGTACTATCTTTAAATCATAGTACATTTACTTTGGGATTCATTCACTGATCTATGTATAGACCTCAAATGGCACAGCACATAGGCAGACTCAACCATAATAAACAAAATGCAGGCAATACAAAAACGTAATGCCCATTTGAACTTTTGCTTTAAGCCCATATTCACACTGGTGTGACTTGTCATGCGATTTGACAGTTCCAAATCACAAGACGAGTCACACCCCATTACTGCCGATGGAACCGTTCATATCGCTGTGACTTGGAAAGCTGTAAAATAACATCTTGTCACAATATTTGCAAATTGCAGCTTTGCTCTCAGCAGAAATTGCACTTTGGAAATGTTTCCAAACTCTAAATGTTGGTCTCACCATTTTACTAAGAGGAGGAAAAGAAAAAAACTATTTACTGACCAGACTGTAGGTAAACATTATGATGTTTTGGTGGAGAACATTAATAGGAATCATTAAAGGTTATAAAGGTAAACTAATTTGTCAGACAAATTTACCCTCTTACCTGTCAGTTAAGGCCTGAGAGGACAGAAGCTATCATCTACTGTATCCCAACAATCACCCAACTGTAGGAGGTACAAAGTGGAGCCCACAAAATAAACTGGAATCATTCCCTTGCAGTGCAGTTTCTGTTGATTGAAAACTGCATTGAGAAGTACAGTGTTACTTGAATTGTATTCCAGGACTTGCTTGTCTTCTGCCAAGAGAACTTGCAGAGACCATTACATAAAGTCTCTGAAATCTTTCATTAGGGTCTCATGTAATATAGTTTGAATACCATGTCACAGATAAACTATAAACAGTGTAGCGCTCACAAAAAGTGTATACCCAACTAAAACCCACATATAATTGTGAACAAACAAAACATGTGTCTCACTAAAAATCTGAAATGAAGTGTAGATATTTCATGTTCATAAATAAAAAGGTAAATATAAGAGTAAATATTTCATGGTCATAATTAAATAAAAAGTTAATCTATGAAAATCCCATCTCAATGTGAAAATCTTCTATAGAAGAACTGGATACTCTTCAAGTGGTGTAACGATGAAACCATGTTAACAACACATGCAAATGTGTCACCTCACACCATTTTCAAAAAAAGGCTTACCAGATGTGTTTGACCCCCATTTTACTGAGTAGTCAAAAACAGCTCAATGATATCACATATCGTCAGTCACAGCTCCCTTTACACCATCAGATATGACTCCTTAAATCTCTGCATGCTTCATAGAGGACACCCACTCTCGATGTATCAGGCATCCAATTGTGACATATAGGAAGCAAGAAAGTGTGAAGACTCCTGCTACATCCAGAGGTTCCAGTGACATTTATGATAAAGGCAGTACTGGACTTCTTTGAAGGATGGGCCTAAGGTTTAAAAAGCTTGGAAGTGAAGATGAGTGCAGCATGCTGCCATTGCAGACATATCTCTATTTTAGGTTTAACTGTGAAGCTTCATTGTCAGAAGCAGACCTTTTGCAGGTGAGGAATTGGGTTAAGAAAATTTTTTTTTAACTAGCGCTGATTATTTTTGCACATCCATGCCATAGATATATTGTTTATCATTGCAAAAGCACATTTTCTAAACTTTTTTTTTTTTTCTGGAAAAAAACAAAAACCTGCTTTTTTCCCCATTTTTCGTTTTTTTTTCCAGGCCTTCCCATCTCTAAACAAAACAAAGTCTTACAGTCAATTTTCTTTCTGAAGCATCCACAGTGGAGGAGGAAGCTTATCCTCTGGAGATTAGAGTCCCAGTGACTCAGCTACTCTTTATTTCCCAAAAACTTAGAACCCTGAAATGGCTATCCCCATATCCTCCCACACTTGAGGTGTGGTTTGCCAATGTCAGTGTGACTTTATTTAAGGAATGATATATTTATCAACATTTGGGTATTCCCCATCAATTCCAAACATTTTGTGATTCTAGGCTATCTGTCCCTCGGCCAGCACCAGCATCTCTGATTATGCACACCCTATTTCAGGGTCAACAATGTGACACCTTGAGGCTGCTACCTGAATTTGGACTGAGGGGCAAACAAAAGGCATAGGCAATGGTTTAGGAGGTATCTTAATTTACATATTAGAGTGACATATCATACATAGTTTGACACAAATTTCAGTTTACATTTTCTGGTTGTGAGTTGTGTATATGATATCTTATTTCAAGGATTTTGAAGTAGACTTCTAGTCATTTAATTGATATTTGCATTGGGCATTCGTATAATGTTCTTTATAACAATTTGGTACTGTTGTAATTGTCCCATGATGCTTTTTATTATGTAACCTTGCATTGTGCATACCTCTCTCTGTTTCTACTTATTGGTGTTGCTAAATCAAGATCATTTAGCTTGCTAAAGCAATGTGAATCATAAACAACTACCCTCTTTTTTCTGGTTTACATCCACTTCCTTCCTTTCTTCCTTCCTACATGCATGTATTGCAGCAACGGCTGTGTGGGATTTCTCTCCGCGGACTTCATGACAGTGACAAAGGCAGGACATGCCTGCACAAAGTGTCAGCACAGCTTCTTATAGTTTGTTTCCAGTGCACATGTGACAGGGTGACAACATAAAAGACCAATTGGAAGACAGAATGCTGTCAGTCCATAACAGGAAGTTTTTGAACAAGGACCTTTATAGAAGGATTACCAGGATTACCAGGTATTATTTTTTTAAATGTTGTAGACTTAAAAGGACATAACTGCGGTGAATTTTACTAATCAGAAAATATTAAGTTGAATACTTACTATATAAAGTAGAACTATATGCAAAACTTTTGTTTTTCATTTTGGATAGAGTAAGAGTCAGAATTTTGTTTCGCCATGTGTATCCCATTGCAGAAACTTCCCTTCACTATATCTGTACTATAGCCAAATAGGAAGTGAGAGGAAATCCCTGCAAATTAAGGGAATTCCTTGGAGATCCCCAGGACACCAGAGCTAGTGTCCCCACTGGAAGATTTTCCCTCTATTACTTTTCTGAGGATAACCCCAAATTTGGCATTTTCTTTTACTTTCACTTTTAATGATAATGATAAACAGGACAAATAGAGAGCATGAATCTCCTCAACGGGGGCACAGACAGTAAAACAAATGACAGGTGTTATAATGCCCTTTCACCGTATCCAAAACGTTCAACAAAACTGCCTTTAGTTATACTTTAATGCACATTGAAGCCCTGGAATTTGGATTGCAGAGTACAGACTTGGTGCAGTTACCTTCTGTCGTCTCTTTTCCTTCCTTTTGTCCTCAGTAGCTTGTAACATCTTCTCCTTCCACAAATTGAAGAAGTATGAAGGATCAGTGTAGAATCGGAGGCCATCTTTCTTGTCATCTCTATGGAAGAAGAATGTATGACAAGAAATGTATGGTGGACACCTGTACTATATATTGCACTTACAATTGACTACCAGTATAAACATTAATATATCTACAGGTAGATAAGGGGTCTCCAAACGTTTTTAGTATAAGGGTCACATCATATATTTTACAAATTTTTTGTGGGCCAAGAAACATTAGTTTTATAAATGATTGTGTCCCCTATTAAATTGGGATCCCCATTTATATCAGGGTCCTCATCAGAGTCCCTCAGTTACATCAGGATCCTCAACAGAGTCTCCACTTATATTAGGGTTCCCATTAGATTCCCTCTTACATCAGGATCCCCAACAGAGTCTCCTCTTACATTGAGAACCACATCAGAGTCCCCCATTTACACTATGGTCCCCATCAGAGTGCCCCTTTACATCAGGATCTCCAACAGAGTCTCCACTTACATTAGGGTTACCATTAGAGTCCCCTTTACATCAGGATCCCCAACAAAGTCTCCACTTTCATTAGGGATCCCATTAAATTCCCCCTTACATTAGAATTACCAACAGAGTATTGCCTTACATAAGGAAACCCATGAACATGATCCCCCATTTACTTCTGGGCCCCCATCAGAGTTTCCCATACCTCAGGATCCCCGACAGAGTCTCCCATTACATTGGGGCCCCCATTAGAGTCTCTCTTACCACTGTAAGGCTTAAAGCGAAACAGTAGCAGCAGGGTGGGAGCTGGGAGAAGTAGGTCTGGGCATTGGAAGCTCCTAGGCATTCTGGCAACCAACAATTAGAATGATGACCACACAACGGGGGGGAACCTGTGCTGGAGACTGTGACAGGAGGTTGTAGGAGCGGAGATCATAGGCAACTTCTGCTCACCTGGTCCTCCATCTGTGCACATTGAGGATGCACCAATGACCCTAGCTGCACACCAGATACATTTCTGTAGCAGGTCAGATGTGGCCCCAGGACCATAACTTGGAGACCCCTGTAAATTGTTGTGATACTCATACACATACAGTATGATAATCATGATCTTACACACATGAACTCATCACATCTAGAAGTTAAGAAGTACAGAAATGACCAGAACAAATACCCACAGGACATAATCATTTCTTATGATGGCTATTCTTTATAACTACCGCTCTGGAGACAACCACATGGTTTTTACTATTAACCTACTTTGTGCTTGCAGGACAGAAGAATTTAAGTTTCAGAATGGACTGAAATTAAAAAAATATATACTCAAGAACATTTTCTGTCTTGACTCTCATTTGCTGTCACTCTGGCTGTCCCCTAAACCTCCTAACTTGTTAGCTCATTAAAGCTGAACTCCAACCAAAAAGCTAAATACTGGGTGAAATATAGTATATGTAAACTGCTTAATTTGCCAAAATATTGGTGAATCTGTTTAGCCACTTTTGCAAATCACAAATCCCTGCCATACTGCATAGCCCAAGAAAGTGACACAACAATCTGTTCTACAGTGAAGGAGCATGGTGCTGTCACCTGCCTTTCCCAGCCAGCTGGCTAGACAAAGAATGAGCACCAGCACACTAAGGAGACAGTGGTTGTACAAGGTCGATCCACTGATCATGTCCGATAAATGCAGCTAGATCAGCGCCGTAGGCTATAGCAGGCAGTGCTGATCAGTGTATTCTGATGGCAGGGAAGTCTGCTCACTGTCAAAATACAATAGTTCAGCAGAAAGGATTCCTCCATCCATCTCAAATGTGTATGGGCTGCTTTATTCTGAGTTCTGGTGTGCAAGAGAATACTGAAAGCTAACATGATCAGATTTGAGGTTTTTATGCTACCTGCACAAAAGACACATTAAGAAATTTGTATTTTAAAATGGATTAAATGGTATTAACTGGATTCAATGGTATTTTTATATTTGCTTGGATTTCAGATTTGAGTTAGAGGACTTTTACAATTTGTATTTCCACAAATTCGAGAACTTATGTAATAACTAACAACATCCCTCTAGCTACTTTCATATTTAAAAACTTTAAGTTGATTACTGTAAATTCCCCAAGTGTTTAGTTACTGGAAACACAATGGCCAATTAAATCTCTGGTGTTTCAAAACATGGCAATGCCATCATTAGGTCCTTTGGTTGAATGTACTAAGGGGAGAGAAAACTTTATATTAACTATGAAAAGCTTCCAATACATTTAGAATTCAATAAATTTGCTGTACTTTTGAAAAATTATGCTATAAAAGGGCAAATGTCTACATGTGTTGTGTTCACCTGTAAGGAGTGAGAATATTAAGTGGTGGAGGCTTGTCACATCGTTGGTACATCTCCATAACTGGATTTGGGATGGAATTCCGAGAAACCACTTGTTGATTCTGCACTGTGGAGCTTTTAAAAGCTTTCCGCATATTAATGTCCTGCAATGAAACTGAACACAGATACACAAATGTTATACAAACTGCCATGGAAGGGTCATGCAATCATTTTTTTGTAAATAAATGATTGATCAAATAGTTTATTCTTTATTTAGGCAATTTCAAGTTTCTTCACATTTAACTGGGGGGGGGGGGGGGGGGGGGGGGGGGGGGGGGGGGGGGGGGGGGGGGGGGGGGGGGGGGGGGGTTTCTCCAGATTATTACAAATAACCACCAAGTATGCTGCTTACCATAAAACTTACCCTTGACCATAATCTTCAAGTTAACTCTTACATCTAACCCTGAAGAATATGTTTCCATATATTCCCTGCCTTCAGTCTCAGTAACATTAGAACCTTCGACCTCAATGATGATACCACTAAGGAATTTAGACTTTCCAGCCTAATTGGATGATGGAAGTCAGCAGAGCTTCACCTTATGAACTGAGTTAAGGGAAAAATCCCTTGCAAAGTGAACAGCCTACTTGTCTTTAGTAAATCAACCCCTACTGGTCAATAATAAACAGAAATGTCTATTCTGAAAGCAACCAACACATGTTGTATGACAAACAGCAAAATAAGAAATGCTGTAGGAATGTATTATATATATATATATATATATATATATATACTGTATATATAATTGTTTTTATGTTTATGTCATTGTAACTCCTACAGTAAAGGCCCCTTGATCTGCATGTCATTTATAATCTCAATATAACTAATTGCCTGCTATGCAGTTTACTCCTCTTCAGATTAATTGTGTCCTAATGAACACATGGCCTGATTAATAAATTAAAAATGATTGCAGAGCGGCACATTAGAAAATAACGCTCTGTACAAGCAGGTCATTTGGGTCTAGTCGCTGTCTCTGAGAGGAGAGGGCAGAAGTGCCTGAATTAATTGAAATTCAGATGTGTCCAATTACTGCCAGTACTTTTCAGATGTTTGGGAAAGCTTCATCTGGTATTTTTAGTATATCGATGAAAAGAGTAGGAACTCAGTTACAGATCTTTCAACAGCAGATTATGGACTATTGGCTAAAATCCAGTCATAGCAAGACCACTCATGCATTTTAGCGGGTGAAACCTTAATTATAGCTATCTACCAGAAGCTTTGTATCACAGTTAAAGTTAACCCCAACTGTCATACAACTTTTACTGTAATTCTATAATTGTGGTAACAATTAATTATGTAGTCCTACACATTACTTTCAATAAAGGCTGACATCCCAGAAGTGATTCAGGCTGAGGTACCCCACAAAGCAACATAAAAATCTACCACACCTTCCATTCCAGGAGTCTCCGATGTAAATCACTGCCTCACTCCGATGTAAATCACTGCCTCTATCTGACAAATATATTCTATCTACTCCAGAGAGTTGTGTTCCCCTATTAACTTCCATTAAATGTTTTGAAACATTGGAGGGACATCTAGCCTCAGGATTATCCCATCACAAAAATGATTACCCACCCTGAAAAGCTCAACCACATTATGAGGATGGAGGAATTAACAGCTACCTTATAGGCCTGGCACTTGAACTTCATGGAAACTTAGTGCACTAGGATTGACGTCTCTAACTTCTCAACGCCTTCAGTCTTTTCTATGACTTGAATACCATATTTGATGCAATAACTCTGATTTTACTGAGCCAACCTCCCACCAGTTGTCCTCCCCTCCTCTCTCTTGCTTCCTTCAGCATTAGCTTCCTTTGAAGCATTTAGTCACATGACATCTTAAAGCCCCAAAGCCGATGCTAGAAGAGTTCCCTCTGTCAGCTTCACATCATAATCTTATTGAACAAGCTTCACGAACAACACTGGACACCTTTACAATGCTGTATCTTTGAATCTGAGCTTTGTTTCATTCCATTTTGTTAATTTTACTGTAAATCTTTTTAAAAGTTATCTTATGTCAAAGACTTATTTTTCTTACATTCCTCAATCAGTTTTAACATCTTTAACATTCTTCTTGAACATTCTTTAAAAAAAAAAAAAAGCATAGCTCAGTAGGTAGGATGTATGTGTCATTTTCTTTCATAGTACTTCCTAACTGCGGATCAGTCGGCAATAATTAGATTTTATAGTGGGAGATATTTTGGGCTACTGAATGTTAAGACGTAAACCTGTACGGCTGTATCCCATTAACAATTTATTCTACTTTATTATTATAATTACATATTATTCTACCTAAAAATTAGGAAATACCATTATTGTGTTTATATGTACAATATGTGCAATATATGATATAAATTCGTAATTATCATGTTATGTTAAACAGGAAAAAAGATATAGAAACAGAAATAGTTGTAAATAATGGTACAGTATACACTATGAAGTATATTTATGAAGCAGTAAATCTGACATTCATTGCAGATGAATGCTCCTTGTCCATGTGTTTTAAATGCAATGACTGACTCACCACCAGTGGGCATTAGGTGAAAGTCACATTTACTGCTTTGTAAATATGTCCCTAAGTGATAAAAATTAAACAGAACTGTCTTTACTAGTTAGAAGCAGGATAGGCTTCTTTAAAGAAGTGTCTCCCCCTCTCTGCCAATCCCTCCACTGGCTTCCACTCACCCAACAAATACAATTCAAAATACTAACAACAACTTACAAAGCCATCCACAACTGTGCCCCCAGCTACATCACCAACCTGGTCTCAAAATATCAACCAAGACCTTCTGCTCTCTAGTTCCCATGCCACCTCCTCCCATGCTCGCCTCCAGGACGTCTCCTGAGCTTCTCCCATCCTATGGAACTCCCTACCCCAATCTGTCTCTTAATCCATCCACCTTTAGGCACTCCCTGAAAACCCTTCTCTTTAAAGAAGCCTATCCTGCTTCTAACTAGTAAACTGCCTTTTATTTCCTCCATCAGCTCATCTCCAACAGCTATTACCTTTTGTATGACTCAACCCTTCCTCCTAGATTGTAAGTCCTAATGAGCAGGGCCCTCTGTTTCCTTTTGCACCGAATTGTATTGTAACTGTATTGTAATGATGTGTATACTTACCCATTCCCTGGTTGCTCCAGTCCAGTCACATGATCAGCTCCCAGCACCATCTTCAGGGTAGAGGAGGGACAGCTGACAACAGATTCCCCATAGTATGTCTTTGGGTGATGTTACTGCATAGGCATTGATCTACTCCTCACTGAGGCTGAACGCTGGGGAGATCACATGACCAGACCGAAGAGCCCAGGGAATAGATAAGTACTACATTTTTCCTCTACAGGGTAGTTAGTATATGGCTTAGGATGGGGGTGGGAGCAGGTTTAAGTTTATATAGGATTTGATTGGACTTCTACTTTAAGTTTCAATATTTCTAGCAAAGAAGTAAACATAAGAGACTCTAAGAACTTTCAATTGTTTCTGTGACAAATGAATTCTATCTGTGCCTGTGTCCCCAATGGGTGACTGAATTTTCTAATGGATTTCTTGTGGCACATGCTTTTTAAGGCAAGACACAATAACACCGCTTGTACTCTGTCTGTTACTGTTGCCAGTCCTTCTCTGCACATTGAAGCAGTGCCAAAATGTTTCCGAAACACATCTAAGTACCAAGAGCTATAAACATAGTCATTTTTTACAAATTATACTTCAGACTAAATCATAGGACACATAAGTGTTCTATAATAACCCAAGATGGGATTAAACTGTGAGCAATCACCTTCTTCCACAGTGGAGTCCAACTGAGTTACTTTGATGACAAGTAAGTCCACTCTCTCCTGCAGGGAATTCATCCTCATATAGAAACTGTTTGCTTCATTAAAAAGCTCCCCAAAGATGTCCTCTGCATGTCGACCTGCGTCATGGGGAAGAAAAAAAAGAAAAGGAAGGAAACTAAGCTGGTTAACTATGTGCTGGAAATGAGGTTGAAATCTTCTTATTGCCTGTCACACATTGCTACGCCTTAGAGGAAATCTACCACTACAAACACTGGAGCTGCTATTCCTGACTTGTTTTTGAAGTGTGCAAGCTGCAGGCTCTGTCATCATTATTCTTGTTCACTATCGGTGAGTCACTTACCGAGAACAAACATGCAGCTAGTGAACTGTCAGGAGACCTGATACGCACACACTTGTTCCAGGTACTAAGTGACTCCCCAAGAAGTGCTGGAAGGGTTAATATGTCGACTCTGAAGCCCATACCTTATAAATCAGCAATAGTCATTTTTATATTCCTGTCCTGAAAGGGTCCTTTTAGGGTGATGTCACACAAGTTGTAAAATAAGTAAAAGTTTAAAATGTCCACACTGGGGTCATCATCTAAGATTCTTTATGGTAACAAGACTGCAGTGGTGCCTTTGGTATGCATGACCAATACCTATCAATTTACTGCATCTGTCTAGTCCTGCTGCCAGTTAACCTTCCATATCGATTTAGCACTGAGCTGAAGAACAGATGCACTCTCCTTAAATAATAATTCCATGTATGGCTATATGATTCAAAGCTATACTGGTCCAGCTAGGACCAATGTAACCATGTATATATGTACCATATCATACCTGGACGATGCCCTTGGAAACTGGGAATCAACGAGGTAGACATCCTACTTCAGTGATCTCCTCTTGCCCTTTAGGTCCCACCACCGAATGGCATCATAGGTGCCATTCACAGAATGCTCTGCATTTTCTGAATGAATGCAAAACCTTCTCTGATTGGATGAGGTAGAGAGGTGGGGTAGTGATGTAATTCTCTCCACTTTGTCCAAGGAGAGAACACATTCATTCAGAAAACACAAAGCATTCATTGTATTCACAATGCATCAGACCGGCTGCTCATATGGGGCTTAGAAGCAAGTGGGGATCACTGGAGTAGCAATTTCCAGCTTCCAAGAGTATGTGCAAGGTATGGTATATACATAGTTATATTGGCCCAAGCTGGACCACAGTGAGAGCTGTGAAAATGTGGAATAGACTCCCTCAAGAGTTGGTTATGGCCAGCTCAGTGGATTGCTTTAAAAATGGCCTGGATTGTTTCTTAGATCCACAGAATATAACTGGATACTAACATTTATAGTTGATTCAGGGAATATCTGATTGCCTCTCGGGGGATAAGGAAAGAATTTTTCTTCCCTGCAGGAGCAAATTGGATCATGCTTTGCTGTGTTTTTATGCTTTCCTCTGGATCAACTGTGGGTATAGGATTATAATTTTTTTTTTATTTTTTGTTGGTTGAACTGGATGGACTTTTGTCTTTTTTCAGCCAGACTAATTATGTAACTATGAATGCAGCTTAAAGTGGAAACCAATTTTTTGTTTTTCTTTATGCACATAGATTTAGTTTTTTTCATTTAAGTGATATTTTTTTAAATGGTTGAACTGGATGGACTTTTGTCTTTTTTCAGCTAGTCTAACTATGTAACTGTGCATAATATAGCTATACCTGGAATTCTTCCTTAATGCTTAAAATAAGCCAGTATGTTCTGAATAGACGGAGAAAGAGTTACAACTTTTCCTAGGTTTTCATTTTTATCTGTGACCCCATTGGGGAAGTGTTCCGTCACTTCCTCTCCCTGCGATTTGATCAAGGAAACAATAAAAGCATAGTTAGAAGTTCAAACCCTTTCTTGCTTTACTTAAAATGTTTTATTTTTTTTTATGTTTTTATCTGTGTCCTCTTTGGAGAAATTTCCCATCCCATCCTATCTTAAGTAAGGGAGCATCTCCCCAATACAGCAAAATCCTTCCCAGCTCCAACCGAAACAAAATCAAATGTTTTGACTGGGTTAGACTTTAAAGTAGTTAGTAGTTACCTAGTATTAGGTATATTTAATTATGTTGAGTACATTCATGTGACGCAATGTGTATGTGTACCACTTACAGGTATTTATTAGGGCTGTTTGTTCAAGCATCATCCAAAACAACATAGGTTTCCTAGACTGAGAGGCTGACTTGGATATAGTACAGTCATGTAAATGCCTGAGCAGCTCTTGACTGTGTTTACAGATTACACAGATCCGCCCCTGTTGCAGCCTTTCACCTGTTTACTTGCCACAAACCTACATTGTTGCAATCTAATGACTAGGGGAAAGGTGACATGCTTTTTAATGATAAATGAAACATTATACAAGGATACATAAAATATTTGACATGTCAGGAATTTATTCATGCAGACTTGTAAAGACGCAAAGATTTTCACTACCGAGAAGAAATTGTTGATTGTCATTGATATGTAAATATATATGCATTGATCAGCCATAACATTATGACCAACCACAATAATATGACCCCCCCACCTAATAATGAGTAGGTCCCTTTTGCTGCCAATAAAAAACGTCAAGCCATGGACTCCACTAGACCTCTGAAGTTATGCTGTGGTATCTGACACCAAGCCATCAGTAGCAGATCACTGCCTCCGCTGGGTTGCCATCTTCCCAGAGAGTATCCTGTTACCATCTCTGCCCCAGGTAACCAACACACGCACCCGGCCATCCACATGATGTATAAAAATGTGATTCATCAGACCACACCACCTTCTTCCATTGCTGCGTGGTCCATTTCTGATACTCACATGTTCATTATAGGCATTTTGGCTGTGGACACGGATCAGCATGGGCACCCTAACCAGTCTGTGGCCACTCAGCCCCATATGCAACAAACTGTGATGCATTGTGTGTTCTGACACCTTTCAATCAGAAGCAGCATTAATTTTTTCAATAATCTGAGCGACAGTAGCTCTTCTACTGGATCAGACTACATGAGCCAGCACTTGAGCCTTTGCTGCCAAGAACATCCCACAAGAGCTACAGTTTTGGAGATGCTCTAACCCAGTTGTCTAGCCATTACAATTGGCCCTTGTCAAAGTCAAAATCAAATCCTTACACTTGCCCTTTTTGCTTTCAACACATCAACATCAGAGACAACATGTTCACTTGCTGCCTAATATATCCCACCCACTTTCAAATGTCATTGTAATGAAATAATAAATATTACTCATTTTACCTGTAAGTGATCATAATGTTATGGCTGATTGGTGTATACTGTTAGATCTGAAAAAAAGGAACTCCGTAGAACTAGTTTTGAAGTGCTCTATTTGCAATATTTGTAGGAATTTCTGTTTAAAAATGACTAATACTTGTAAAGTATATTACCTGTCTGAAGAAATTCTCCACGGATAACATAACAGTAAAATGGAAAGAAAAAAAATCAATGTACTCACTTAGACTACCCAGCTGTTTTATTATGGCAGCGAGTGTACTATTGGTAACGCATTCCAACTCACTGGTGACTCCATCTGGCACTGTTCCTCGGCATAAATGCCGGGGTTCTATATTTCTCTTTACCAAAGGCATTTTTTCCTGTTGAGCTCAGCTGTGAGAAACATCAAAGGGCAACTGAAATAGATAAATAAGATACAAGTGTTATGATATTTTCAGCAAGCTCGAACAGAGAAATGATAAGGTCAACAAACTTAATTGCAGATCTGCCAATAAATGTTCAAGAAACATACTAAATACCAAACAAAACCTCTAAAGTCCTGTACAGTAAAACATAATTATTTCCTCTTTTTAATGATGACGTACACATTGTACCCATATACATTACAGGTAATGGGAAAAACACAAAAAAAGTTTTGAGTTTGATTTTAGCAAAATAACATATTTAATATCCTTCCTTTAGATGTTTATCAATATAGTAAATTCAAGTTAAATACTAAATAAAATCTGAACTTTTCCAGTTGCCCTAACACTTTCATGCTTTCATGCATCAATGAGAATGTTACTAAAATTCTTCCATATAAATATAAATTCTAACCATGAAATATTACACACTATCTGTCCATAGAAACCTATAAAAGGGCTGAACCTGGCTGCAGCTGTGAGCTTAGTACCATTTTTTTCAGTTGGCATCCAGCTTTTACTAAAAGTGATCGGGAGGGCTGTAGAGCCACCTAATCACTTTTACAATACTAAGAAGTTGCCACCCTCCACCCTTCCACTTGAAGTGGTTCACCAATTTCCTTTACAACTAATGAACCTGGAAGTGACAATGATTTCATCATTTCTGGGTCAAGAGCTGTCATTGCCTGGCTACTGTGGTCAGGTAAGCAGCTAAACAAGCATGATCTATGTTTGATTGGCTTAAGTGAAGGGCAGAGCTGACATTAGGACAGATGTGATATTAGGGGTGTAACTGACCCCTGGTGTCTCTCCCCTGAAAACCTAACATGCACGGGTGCTTTACCTAACTATTATTGCTATTACCTTGTGATAGCAATAAAAATAAATGAAAAAAAAAAATATATATATATTTATCTATATATATATATATATATATATATATATATCTGTGTATGAATATATGGTACCCATATAGATTGCAGGAATTGGGAAAATGTTTTGTTTTCAGCAAAATAATATATTTAACATAATTGTTTCATTTAGATGTTTTCCGATGTAGTAAAGTCAAGTTAAATACCTAATAAAACCTGAACTTTTTCATTTGTCATAGACCCCTAAGACTTTCCCATAACATTGGGAATGCTACTAAAATTCTTCCATATAAAAATAATAGTAATCTGACCATTAAATGTTACAATATTAGACATACAAAAAAATTCACATAATTATTATACTAATAAAATCAGAGATAAATGGGTGGGGTCTGATGGGGAACTGTGAGAGACTAGTGCCCCATCAGGTCTGCTTTGCCTTTTCTTGAGAATTGAGGGAAGTGGGCGGATCCCTAGCTGCTATTCAGTACAATAGCAGCTTTAATTCACCCACTGTCATCTGTTGTTAATCACAGACAAGCGGATGGGATAGGAAATTAGTCTCAGAGTTCCCCATCAGTCTCTGCCCACCAGGTACCTGAAATTCATGGCCATTGTGCCTACTGAGTAAGTAGATCCTGATAGGGAACTCTGGGACTAATTCCCTATATGGTTTACCTTGCCTATGATTGACAGCACATGGCAGTAGATGGATTACAAAGCCTATTGGACCAAATATCGACTATGGATTCACCATCCTTTGTCAGTCAAAAGTAAAGCAGACCTGATGGGGAACTAGTCTCTCAGTTCATCATCAGGCTCTGCCCACCTTTAGTTTTAAACTCCTCAGCCATGTGTCTGTCAATGTGATGGTGCAAACGCTTGGGAGGGAGTACACTGAGGAGAAGAGTCCAGTATGCACATTCTTCCCTCAGTGCCGTCATTGACAGATTTATGTATCTATCTGGGAGGTGAACACCATAACTTTCGGTTATGTGCTCCTACTATGGAGGCTCTGGAAGTTTTAGAGTTAGGTCCACAGTATACAGAGGACCCTTGACACGGGACTGTGGCTTACACATGGATTCGCAAATGTGTGCAAACAAAACCCTCTGTTTTTAACACAAACTGTTAGACAGGACCAAATTGGTTGTTTGCAGGCTGACTGGTCAGTGTTGCTGGGAAATCTTTTGTTTGTTTGCGATGTGTATTGCCCTTCCATGTGCACATTACTGCTAAGGCTGGTTATGGGTTGGGATGGTTGCCAATTTTTGTGTAGTTGACCATAACTTTCGGTGCCTTGACAGAATTTCAAAGGATGTCTATGATACACTTTAGGGCTCGTTCACACTTGACTTTATTTCTAACTCTTGCCAAACGCCCCTATAGCGTTTGACAGGCGTTAGACAGGCATTTGGGAAGCATTTTTAATGCTCCTCAAATGCTCCCCAAATGCAATATGCGCGGTTTTGAGGTGGTTGATAGGCATTTGCCAAGCGTTAAAACCGCTCTACAAATGCCTATAATGAAGTTAAATGGAATTAGCACTCCGCAACAGTACCGCAATCGCCTGCTAGGTGTTTGAGGAGCAGCACCATAGACTTGAATGGGAGGCTTCAACTCCTCCTGACTCAACAAGAGGTGTCAGTTTTGCTGCGACGTGACCCTAACGCTTCAGTGTGAAAACACTTCTCAAATGCCTCTCTGCCACCTGCTGACAAAGCTAGTGTAAACTGAGCCTTACGAATTTCCCATGTGTGTATGTTTTCTGACATAAGCCTTTTGATATTATGACCAATTGTAAGTATTTCTGTTTGAATAGTTTAGACCAGCCTTTTTCAACCCCTGGCACCCGGGGTGCCTACAGGTTTCTTCAGGGGTGTCTTGGCAAAATGCCTAAAAATTGCCCAAAAATGTTATACAAACCAGCGGGTGGCTCAAGCCTGCCTGTTAGTTACATATAGCCACAGGTTTTCATTGTGCACCATTACAACCTTCTATCCACTAGCGTTCTAACAGGCAACGACGACATCAGTTGATATAGAGGACCTTGGGCACCTGCACAGTATCCTTGTTTGACTCTCCCCTGCCCCTCACCATCAGCACTGGGGTCACATTAGCTCAGTGATGGAGAAAAACTGAGGGAGAAGAAAAACAGTGTGCAAAAGTGTATTTGTTTTGGAAAAATAAATCACCTCTAACGTTGGGTGTACATATGTATGGATTTTGCTGTATTATATAAAACTATTATAATACTTTTTTACATTTAAGAATGGGATGCCTCAAGACTGTTCATAATTTTACAGGATGCCTCAGGACTGTTTGTAATTTTAGAGGGTGCCTTGACTAAAAAAAAGGCACTGCTCTAGGCTGCCTTGGTCAGCCTGAAGATAACCTGTTCCTGCCCTTACTGCACAGATTCTACATTTCCAAACAGTGGAGGATTAGTTAGTAGGAATACTAGTCAGTAGCAGTGTGCAAGAGTGTATTTTATTCATTGGAAGAATATTCCACCTTTAATGTTAGATGTTCTACGTGTGTGGATGTTGCTGTGTTATGTAAAACTATTAGTTTCATTTTCTACATTTTTGAATGGGGTGTCTCAAGATTGCATAATTTTAAAGGGTGCCTTGATTGAATAAAGGTTGGGAACCACTGGTTTAGGAGACCCTAATAGACCCATTTGTTGGGTTGATGTATAGCACTTTGTTCACTGACCTCTAGATGGAGCCTTAAGCACATAAACAGGTAGAAGCTGCACTGTACATGAGAAAATCTCATATGCAGATAGTAGATGTGTGAATGATTCTGCAATCTACATAAAATATATTATGATAATTGATTCCTTGACCTTCTTCCGCAAAGAGGTGCATTACATAAAAAGTCTCTACATTTAAGGAATGAACCATTGGTATTCTCCAATCATACATATCATACTATATACCTATACATACAGTAAGCTCAATTTATGGGAAGAAATAAGACATACAAACCAGTGTTTATATGTTCTATTTCTATATGTTAAACAAATGAAGGTATAAAGTAAATGTCTTTATAATCTAATAGCACTCACTAAATAAAGTATTTTTCTGAACATGTACACATTTGCATTGTTTCATATTTAAAAGAAGAGTAAGGACAAAGCTTTTTGGCCATATTTCTTTTGTGGGTCACAGGAGTGCACTTACTTTTGCTCTCCTCCAACTGATAGCTGGCTATAGCCCACTGTCAGCTGACATAGCAGAGCCACTCAATGCTCTGGATGGATCCCAACTAAATTGCTAGGATCCACCCAGCTACCGGATTGACAGCTGGCTCCACCTCCCAAGGTACAGCTGGGAGCCAGAGCCAGAAACTCCTACCTCCTCTCCTGCCTGGCGATCCAGTGAGTAATGGAGGAGCAGAGTGGAGAGTGGTGACTGAGAGTCAGTGTTCTCTTCTCCAAATAGACGCTCACATGATTGCTCAGTTATCAAGGTTATAGAACCCTGAAAAGTTCAACCTCTTTCAACTTCTTAAGTTTTGGTCTACAGGAAGACAGAAAAAAAAGCCCAGAGGGCACTGTTTTGCCAAACAGGTGGAAAAAATCCTTCCCAACCCCCAAGTGCGATCAAATCTATTCCCTTAACAACATATTCCTATATTATTCTTATTTATATCATATAAATTATATTATAAGAATATAATTATTCCTGAAATTATATTTGTAACTACAAACTGAATTGACTGTGAGATAATCACCTAGACAATAAAAGCATTTCACGGCAGAACCACTCTCACTGTAAAGAATCCTATCTTAAGCTGGTGACAATTTCACTTCTGAACCATTTGAGATGTTTCTTTTTTTCTTCGCCCGTACTTTGTTCTCTTTCACTCCATCTGGTTCTTTTTCATTCTCAGTCCCCTGCCCTCGCTATACCTCATCTCATCTCCTCCATGTATATTTGCCCAAAGGGGGTGGGGGACAACAATGTGTAACTAGATTTACTATTTACAGATATAATAAAAAATATCACTTAAAGGAAAAAAAATTAATCTATGTGTATAAAGTAAAACAAAAAAATGGTTTCCACTTTAAGC